TGCACGGCTGTGCATGTGCTCACCTGGATGTTTGATGCATCCTACAACAATCCTACGAGATAAAGAGGAAAAATGAGCCAAATCCTCCAGTGTTTCCTCTCTGTTCTGAGTCTTTTTGCATGTTTGGGGCGAGTCAGAGGTTTGAATCCCTCTGTGGCTTTCTTCTGCCTGAACACAAAATTTAGATTTGAATGAAAAAAGTCGAATTTTTTTGTGAGTTGGTGTTTTGTCAGTGTTTGAACTCATTATTGAATTTAAACAATGTAAACGACGTTACAGCTGGATGTCTTTCAACAAAAGATCTGATATTTTAGATGGACTTTCTCTTTGTGGTTCTCCTAAAACACCAGATATCCAGTTTAGTCTTCTTTTTCCCTCTGGGATTATTAAAGTATTTCTGATTCTCTCTCTGGTGGTTGGTGGGGTTTGGTCCCACTCATCCCGGGGCTCAGTTTAGCCTGTAGTGGGGTTGTGTTCAGGGTCTGATCGGGCTGTTTTTTTTTTTTTCCAGGCCGGCCGGGTGGTCGTGGCTCGCTCGTTTGCTGACTTCACCCCTCAGGTGACCTTTGACATCAAGGTGAGCTGAAACCAGTTCCATTCCACTCTAAAACCACCTCTTCCTCCCTGGTTTACCCCCCCGAGACACTTCTGCCTCTCTTCTGACCTTTGACCTCATAAGGAAGTCAGACACCGTTTGAAATCTAAATTGTTTTTGTTTTTTTAAACCTTTTATGTCCTTATTGTGTAATTAAAATGCAATTGGGTGGAATTTGGACCTTGAGAACCAGATTACAAAGTACACTTTAAAGACATTTTTCTTATTTGAGGAAAAACTACCTGTTCTGTGACAGTCTAGTTATTAAACTTACTCACTGCTGCTAATCTCTGATATCTCAGAGAAAACTAAAGTGATAAAATCTTGTCTTTCATGAGGTAGAAACTTAAATTATTAGTAAAAACATGAGTCAACAGCTCCAAATATTGTTGGTACTTGTATGTAAACGCCAGCATGTGACATCCAAAAGAAATGGGAGGGGGGATAAAAATGAACACTTTTTGTATTTTTTTAT